AGATTGGATTGGGCTTGTCTCTCTAGTAGGTGCCATCTTATTAGCTCACTGTATCCAGAGAGTCATAATTTCTTGATAGGGATTTTATTCACAACATGTAGGTGAACATTCATGCACACTTTATCTGCATGTACATGAACCTGGTCATTTGTTTGTTTCACTGTGCATGTAGTTTAGAAAACTTGGAAAAAAAATGTATTTTTCTCCTATTGTGGACACTTCTTAAAATGACTATGATGTCCATGACTCTTCCCTGTTTTTTTGTCTCAGATAACTTTAATCCCAAAACACCCCTCTGAAAAAGTGTCCATCAGAGATTGAGAATCACTGTGTGGACCATGGCAAGTTCATAGAGGTTTTTTGAGACCCTACAAATTGTAGATCTCTTGTCCTCAGGTCCATAAAGGGTGTGTAAATCAAACTCACTTGTACATGTACATAAACTGATCTGCCACTTGTCTCCTCTCAGACTGCAGCATTCAGGCCCAAGTACGGAACCGTGTCCAACGTGAGGGTGTCCAGCAGGCAGACAACATACGAAGTCATCGCCTTACTGCTAAAGAAGTTTGCCGTGGAGAACAGACTGGACGAGTTCAACCTGTACTCTGTCTTGCATAACGGAGGTCGGTACCCTTTCATCAAACTCTGAAAGATTTGTCCATCACATCCTGTCATAAATTTCAGATTAGTAAAACTGTCTTTTAAGAAAACTTCCCAAAGGCTTGCCGTCTCAGCCGCCTCCTCCCTTACCCAACCTGTGGATTATTCTGAAGTTTCAACAAAGTCTAAGTGTCTGCATCCTAACAGCTTTTTCATTCCTTTTCAGATGCGTACAAATACGTCACTGTGGTATTTCAGGTGCAAGAAGGCCATCGGCTTGGATGTGCTGTGCACCATTCATTCCCACCCACATACATGTACTTATTCTTCCGAATAGGCTACGAAGCTCTTACGCGTAAATTTTGTCATTTGGAATACCAAATTGATTCCTAAATCCTAAAACCCCAACCATTGGAAACACCACTTAAGCTCCCCACTTTCTTTATTTCGAGATAACGATCTCAGATTTGATGTCTTCCACAGAAACGCACGCATTCCAAATGAACGACTTTCCACTGCTGAAGAGAGTGCAGCTGGGCCCTAATGAAAATGTGGCCAAGATATTTATCAAGGAGAAGAAGTCAGATGAGATATCTCCTGAGGTAAGCACCCTGACCTGTCTTATAGACTAATCTAACAACAACAATCAGAAGCCATTCAGTACTGCCTTGGCACCATGTCGAGATGCTGGTGGTATACACACGACGGGGTCCTCTCCAGCTGATGAGACCCTTGCCCAACCAAGAGAGGGCGCAATTTACCCAGCAACAGAGGCCCCTTTGGTGGGAACTGCACTTCTGAACTGCAGGTTCACAAGCAACTATGAAATGCACTTGTTACAGTCACAAAGTGAACACTCCTTACCAGCATGGTTTTTTTAACCGATGAGGGGGTGCTTCTGCTCGAGGCAGATCAGAGCTGTATGGACTGATGGCCGTGCACTGTGTTTACATGTGCACTTTCCTATGGAGCCACCTCGGGCCCAGAGTCCACTGAGCCCCATAGGAAAACACATGGGTAAACAAAGTGTGACGTCATCAGTGCAGAGGTCTGTAGGGTGTTGCCAGTTGCCAACATGCACATGTACCTCGTGCTCGAGAACGCACATGAGGGCAGTGCCACCAGCAGGACTGGATTATTCAATCAGAATTTTTTGTTTCCGTGATAACGACAGGTTGCGGGATATGTGAATCTGCGCATCCCTGAGTTGAAAGCCATCTTGAGAAAGTTCCAAGAAGAGGAAGAGAAAGAAGTCATGAAGATTCGGCAGAGGTAATGTGAACGTCTCACAAGCAGTTGGGTCTAAATAAGATCAAGGCATAAAAAACGTGGCGTATGCAATTCGCTCGTTTGAAGTTGGCTGAACTAATGACTGAATGAGACAGGGGTCGAAATTAAATTCATTCTCTTGGTGGCCTCTTGGTGGCCCACAGAGCTCTTGTCATCACCACACGAGCCAGTGCCTTCTGAATGATAATTGCACTTGATGTCCGTGTTCGGTTACACCTGCCCCTTGCAAAATCAGAGAGTAAAATATTTTGTTCATACCTGGCATTTGTGCACCAATCCCTTCAGCGTAGTTTGTCAGTTTGTTAATTTCAGCTTATGTCATTCACCTGTGTTATTCTCTCCTAGATATGTCCAATACAGAGCCACCCTAAATAAGAAATTGGCTTTACTTAAAGCAGAGATGTAAGTAGATTATCCTTGTCTTCCAAAAATAACAGTGTTGCCTGTGTCAGTTTGGCTTCCCATTAGCCGAATCTATCTGTTCCCCTTGAGTCGAAATTTTTACCCAAATGGTTTTATTTACACATTTACACAGACCTGCAACTTTTCCTCGGATCAGCTGATTTCCTCGTGTTTCACTTCACACTCATGCTACGGAATATTAAAAAGCACCACACAAAGTCTTATAGAGATTGGAATTTCCTCGTTTTTGTCAAGTCCAAGTTGCACACCTGATTTATTACACCTTAAATATTTGAAAACCTTCCAAAGTGTTTTTATTTTTCTTTGTGTGTTTTTTTTTTTCGTTTTTTCCCAGAGAAAAGGAGGCAAAGTTCAATGCGAAGCACAAAAACAAAGAGAAGAAGAAAAGCAAGAAGAGCAAGGGTAAGAAATAAAAAAAAAATTATCGTCAGCAACCCCTCGCCGGTTAGAACAACTTCAGGTCTCCAGTCACAAAACTCCAGCATTTGTAACCTCAGCAGTATCATTGAGACCTTTCACTAGACCAGACGCAAGTAATAGGGAGAACAAAAAATGAAAGACCGCTTTTGTTGCATGGTCTTAAGAGGTCTCAACTTCTACGTTGAATCTGAGACAATCATGAACCTTCTTAATTCAGTTGAATATCTGTGACTTTAAATGTTCTGCATGCTTAGGGATGTACTCAAGCATGCAAGAGAGGTGAGCGAAATGCCCGGTTTTAAGCTGTGTTGTCGTTGAATCCATCACAAGTTCTTTCACAAGACCAGTTACAGTTAACGGCATGAATAACAAAGCAGCACTTCTGTAGGAATTCAGTTGAGTAGCTTGTAACTTGTCTCAAGACTGGATGACCTGTGATGGGCTTGCATATATACATGTATGTGATGGATTCAAGTACAACACTGTTTACACGTTCATCTGCCACATAAATCTAAAGTATTGTTGATAAATTTGACATCTTTGTAAAATTTTGCATAAGTGGAGAGAGAATTAACTGTAACTTCCAAAAATGCATTCAAAATTATATGCAAATTGGAGGATTCGGGACTGTTTGGGTAAAAAAAGGGTTCTATTAACTCCATTCAAACAACTCGAAAAATATATTTTCTCATGTGGTACCCACTTCCACCAAGCCAGAACACATCAGCCACAGTGTGTCTAATTATAATAACCAACGGTTTTTAAAATATGCAAATGATCCATAACCAGGGCAAGACAGCGGCTAGTGGTTAGCATAGTGAGCGAAAGCCATGCATGGGAGCGAGGTTGATGCAGAGTTCCTTGAGAGCTTGTGCATGTCCTGACTATGGTAGGATGTTGCTGGAGTGGTAAGGTGCACGTTATCTCTTCAGCATACCAGCGTTTGCTGTGTTTTCACAGAAAGGCATAGTCTGGTTCCCTGTCAGCATGCTTCCTCTAAAACAAAAGTCAGGTAGCTGAAAGTATCATTACTAGACCAAACTTGGAGGAATTCCTCCCGGTTCTGAAAAAAAATATTGCCAATGAAATTAAATCATAAATGCTCAGGTACCTCTGAGTGTAAAATTTGTGTATTTATGAGCCAATGCCAAGTCAGAAAAACAGTTTCAGGTGTAAGGTTGAAGAACTGTGATTTAAGTATGCCTTTATAGCCTATTGTCAGGTCAGGGAATCAGACTAAGAATTACATCTCATGCATTATTGTGTGACCCATGATCAAACTCACCACCCAGTGTCACACATGGCATCACCCACCCTTCATTTAACATGTTTTTATATTTCATATGCCACCTAAATGAGGTTCATCAGCATTACATACGTGTATCTCCAATTATGATGTACTTGATAATCTGTCCAGTGACCTATGTAGCATCATTTCATACATGTATCTCCAGTGTGATATATATTTGCTACCATGTGTGAAACTTAAAGATACGTGAAAAATGAAAGATTTTTGATATTTACAAATATTTTTTTCAGTAAAATAAACACATCTATACGGACACATTCGTCTAATTCACAACTTCACTGTCATTTGTTTCACAATCCACTTCGGCCCTTGTGATCTTCATTTTTGATTAAAATACCTTCATTGCTTTTTTGTACATGTCTGATACCGTTCTGCCAATAAACTTGACATACAAGAGCGCATGAGAAATGCACATAGAAGAGTTTTGCACATTGTTGGATAACTTGACATTTCACAAGTCCACCTGTGCATGACGTTTCCCTGTACATATAATATGTGCCGTTGACATGTATTATTAAATAGCCTAGCTGTACCTTCCTCCCCCCGGTGTCACAGTCGTAGCCTTTGCCAACCCGTGGTTGGTAAGCCGTGCTTGCCGTCAATACAAAAAACAAATCACTTCCACTAGTATCAGAAACTCCTGCAAAGCATTCTAAATAAGGTCACTCAGTTCTACTTAAAATGCCCCCCTTTTGAAATAGTGAATGGTCTAAATCTGCCTCTCGAGGCATCAGCCGGTGTCCTCTCTGTGACCGAAGCTTCTGCAGACCAAGGCTTTAATGTGTCACCTACAAGTGACCTGAATTTACAGCTCTCTGGACTGCCAGGCTTCCCAACACGACCCCTGTCTCTCTCTAGATCCAAAGGAAGCTCCTTTCAATAAACTGTGGGTGAAAGTTGTTCAAAAATTCTACCAATTTTTGTCAACCCTCACCAACTGTGATTCTAATTTCTACATGTACATGTATTTCCCCAGAAAAATTTGTTTGACTCGGTCTGTGTGAAAATATATTTTGAAAGTATATTTTGGTTAATATCCGAAGTTTTTGTAATATGTGTACATACAGAAAAAATGTCAAATGCCAAGTTATATGGTATTATTATATGGTATTGATGATTTGTAAACAGTGAAATTTTAAAGTTTAAATCATTGTATATGTACAAAGTAATGTATGGATCAATATCAAGATTTGATTTAGATTGATGAAAGGATATTATATATTTATGAATATTTGGAAGTGCCTGACGATCTAGGCAATAATACTGAGATGCTCCATACTGCAATGTGTGTGCAGTTGTTAGCGGTAGAGTGGTAGAAAGAGGTAAAGATTCCCATGTACAAGAAAACATTCCCACCTAACTCGAAGCTACATGACATCTTGAATATTAATCAAACGATGTTGGGTATCAATTCCTGGGTTTGATTTGTGTGTACAGACTGTGCCTTAAGGAGTGTTAAATGGCACTGGAGAAATATGGTTAATCAAGAGTTTATCAATGTTTGTCACTGATTATATGTGTGTATTGTTCAACGATTAAAGTCTACAAAAAATAATAAAATCGTACCATAATTCAGTGATTAAAGTCTACAAAAGGTGATAAAATTGGGCTATGTTGACATAACCAGTGGAGTTCCTGGTCCACCCTACTGTACGTTTATGTTAATGTGGCTGATGTATCGCATTACATGTAGTTCATGTCTCTTGTACACTCCATTCATTGTCCATTCGTCATTTTAACAACACACATCTTCAGCAAGTTTTACCCAATCGAGGGAAGACTTTTTTTCCTGCTTTCATATTTCATATGCAAGGCTGAATATCGTCAACGCGAGATGATGGTGATGACTTTTTGAAAAGTATTTACACTTGTATGCCCACCATCGTCTCTAATGAGATGTAGATTTTGAAGAATATCGTGGATTTTATCCAGCTGGGAGCATAGTAACTCACTGTTGGTGTGTTTCTTATTTGGTGTAGTAAATGGAAATTATGATACTTCTCAAAAAAATATCCACTTTTTGTTGATATGTTCAGAATCCGAGTGTCTCGTGTGGAGAATGCAAGCAGGTGAATTAATCTTGAAATTGCCGGGTGTTGAACCCATGTCTGTATGGTGTGCAAAGGCGACATATTTCTACAAGAAACTGCACACAGCTGCTTGTTTTCCAACGAATGATTGATTGCACTGATTTAACTAATTGCACTGATTTCATATGTCGAGTATTGTTCTAGACTTTTTTCGTTTACAGAAGATAAAGCAACATAGACGTTGCAGACATTTCTCATTTGGGTTATAAGTCCATAAATGCCAGGTGCTCCAATTTGGTCAATAAAAATTTTAACTGAAAAATACGTCTACTAATTTTGTATTCATCACACGCATTCAGTTGAGTAAAGTTTATGCACCTATGCCCTGCTGAAAAAATCCCATCAAATGGGTGCCACTGCCAGCGAATCGCATTGAAAAACTAACAAATCAAGAATTTCACTTTACTCCGTTCATCCGCAATGATCGTGTTACTCAACATACACAGCGCCCTCAACATGCTTGCAAAGCATGGGCAAAGTACCCGTTAAAAAAGGATCGTTTGGAGCCATCAAATACACGGCCACTGACTCTATCTCATTGGTCGTGGCCCGAGATTCGCAAGTCAAAAATTGTTTGTTGTTTACATCGGGCAATTAATATCGGTGACGATGTATCACTCACGAAACGGTGGTGTGGCGAGACAGCATTTCTAGCAGCCATGCATTTTTTGGTTGAATTCAAGCGACAGACCAGAATGACACAGGTGAACGGCCTGTGATAATCTTGCGGACACACTGTCCAGTCGGATGAGTAGCAAGCTGCCAAGTGCAACTTCCCAACAACCGCTAGCTGTAACCACCACTATATTTTTAAAGCATATTGGCGCCCTCGTGGCGAGCAGAAACCCACCACTTGACTGATAGAAGTCTTTCATTTGGTATCCATGGCAAAACCCAAAACTATTTTGGACTGAGGGAAATTCTAAAACCGCCTACATGTATCATGCTGGACATGCTATATGGAAACCCACAACTAAAAGACTGGCCAGGTACCCCCATTTAAGTTTCTATTTTTGAAGTTCTATGCCTATAAACATTTCGGCACTCCACAAAAATTAAAGGACATTTTGCCGACCATTTTGTATTAAAATTACGTCTGTTTTCCAGGAAAACATCTGGAACGCGTCTCGTCATTTCATTGTGGTCTGTGTATTAGGAAAAAAAAGTCACCTTGGAGAACCCAGAACTTATAATTGCCCTAACTTTTTAGGTTTGTTTTATTAACCAAGCTCTCTTGGAAAAAAATGAAAATGTCATTCAAGTCATAAGATCCTTCCCCTTTTTTTAGATATCTACGGAGCTCTGGAAGTGCCATCCAACATGTTGACATTCTGACATTGTTTCTCGGGATAACGACATGTGCAGGCAAGATTTATAGTAAAGATTGCGGTAACGCCATGTATTTATCTCTTCTTCGAGTATGTGTGGTTCTGAAAAGAACCGGGGAATAACTCCACGTTTCGAACAGTGTACTCTGTCCGTCTTCGAGTTATTCCCCGGTTCTTCTCAGAATCACACATACTCAAAGAAGAGATAAACTACATGGTGTTACCGCAATCTTTACTCTCAATCTAGTTTCTTTCACCATGAAAACCTTTAAGTCTTATATGTACAGGCAAGATGTTCACAACCTAAGCTAATTTATCTCGAGATGACGACATCGTAAAAGTTGGATGGCGACATCCTGCGATAATTTACCAAGGAAAGACGACATCGTAAAAGGGTAGACATCACACGTGCTGGATATCGTCGTCTTGGAATAAATTATCTAAGGATGTCGTCATATTGAGAAAAAAATAAGTCAAGATTTCAACAAGTCAGATGGCACTTCCAGAGCTCCGTGGGTATCTTTTCCACTTTTTAACCGATAAATATAGTGACAAGATCGCAGAGCAATGGACTGGCATCTATGCGAATTGTCGGAAGGTTTGGGTGCTGGCTCTAACAGAATTGATGAAAACTGCAAACCGCTAATTTGCCGGTCGATAGTTCCCGGCATAATTGTCTGAATATGGCCCGGTCTCCGCAGAGATGTTTTTTTGGAATTTGCGGGAGGGCGGTGCTCGGCTTTAGGACAAGTGTTGATAAAAATGGGTCCCGTGGTATAAAGAATCCCAGGGGACTTTTTTTTCATCGACTGCGAAGCTATAGAAGGCATTTCAATCGTGGAATGTGTCACTATGAAATATTAATGGCGATGCCAATACTTGTGAGTCCTTTGAAAAACAAACAACAGGTGGTTCACTTTAAAGGAGCGGCAACATCTTGGACGATCTCTCGTGAATCTGTCAAGAAGCCGCGTGGACGATCTAACTCCTCGTGGTCCATATGTCTCCCAAACCACTGACAAATGTTCAAACCAACTTCTTTCAAGGAACAATTTTCCCAGAGGAATTCCATAACGGAGCAACGACTCTTTGGGCCTCGACGCTCAAACACAATGTTCCAAATTTAAATGCCTCATAGGAGCACACTGCTGGTTCAAGTACACGTGTCCGGGAACCACATGTGGCTGCATACGGTGTCTTCGTTAGCATCGCGTCCATACAGAGAGACAATTGATCGAGGTGTGCTTTCTTGATGTGGTTTGGGAGACAACTTTCTAGTTAAACAGTATTTGAAGATCTAGTGTGAGCATAGTGGCTTAATCGTATGATTTGAAAAGTTTCTTGTTCTTGCAAAGGGTTGCTGTGGAATCAGTTAAGTAAGGGGGAATTGTGTCTGTGCACCATTGCTGAACAACTCCTTTAAGCAGCACGCGAAAGTTAAAAAACAGACAGCCAGACCCACAGCGAGAGTTAATTCCACTTTTCACTCGCAACTTGTCCGGACGCCTGACAAGTTGCTCTTAAGGCTGTACTTTCCGTCCTTATCGACCCATCTTGACCACGTGACTTCACCATCCCCGCGCGTGCGGATCATTAAAAGGCCGTGGATCGATATCACCTTTAAGGACCCCTTGCCACGTGGGCGGCCGCCTTGGTGCGCACTCGGGGCAGAGTCGCGTGGGTAAGGTGTTGTCGCAGGCCCGGCCCCCGAAAAGCTGCCGGGGTGGGGTGATCGCACGAGCCCTCGAGCTTTGGACAGAATCGATCAGCTTCTGGTGTCTGTTGATTTTCCCCCCAGTTCGCAAACTGTTTTGTTCAGGTAGAGTGAAACCAACACATTTTCTTTCAATATGAAATTCCTCGTGAATGTATAATGGGCCCAAAGAGAATTAGTCACCCCAAAGTTACGCCGTATATAGAAAGGAACGGTAATGTTCAATTGTATAGGAGTCCAAGGAGTCTTAATATATTGCTCGTTGTGGGGAGATGAGAATTGTTCCCTATGGTGATCTTCCATTGTAACTTCGAGGTTATTCATAAAAACGTACGTACGTCATATCCACAGAGATTATTGGCCACCAAGGAGGTGACCTTTGGGGCCGGTAAATCTATCTCACGTCACCCAACAAGTCAAAGTCAATTCCTTCAAAGAATTCCAACATTCATATTTACCACGCTGCCCCAGGCTGCCACTGACAATATTGGCTTCGGCTGATGTCATTTAGAAATTATGTGGCAATTTGAGCAGATTGGAATGTTGAGAGAGGTGCAACCACACGTAATCGGCCCAGCTAGGGGTGATCTGGTGATGCGCAACTTTAGATACAATGACGACAAATCCAGTCTGTCGACACAATCAAAATGATAACAGAACAATAAACTAGCGAGTCAGGCCGACGTGGAATTAGGCTGAACGTGTAAGTTGCCGAACGAACTCCTAAAAATTACGCTCTCCGTGTCGTCAGAAAATTATAACATGAAATATCTTTGAATCACACAAGCACCTTTATGAAACATTTTTCTGAGCATGAACAGCTTCCTAAGCAATGCGAGGACACAAAAAGGAACAAATTGTAAAATTCCAAGCGTTCTTTCTGTTCTGCCTTAAAATTACACATTAATTCGGAAAATCGGCTGCTGGTGTGGGAATTCCACATCCTGTTGTTATATTGGGATTAGTAACAGAGCGGACACCGTGTGTGCTGCATGGTTTGGTTTGGTTTGGTTTATTATTAAAAACTCAATAGCAGCCAGAGGCTGAATTACTGGGAAAATGGAAACTTTTATGTACGATAAAATATTACGATTACTACTGTAAGAGTATCTTGTTTACAAAGTCAAGACAGGGGAACGACCTCAAAACCACCAAGAAAATATTATCAAAACAACCACTTCAAAACCGAAGCAATCAAAAGCAAAATGCAGCTGAACTATAACAATCAAAGGAAATGATAAATCTTCCTAGTCTCTCTTCCGAGATCAAAGAACGGGCACTATTTTGTCATCAGCCCTATCGTCCACCTACGAAAAATTTCCTTTCGGGTTAATTACTTAACATATGACTAATTAAAAACACCATTGTCTTTCTTTAACAAACAGGACATCCACCAATCGGCGAAGTTGAACCGGAAATGAATTCAGCGTGTTCTTTGATCTTTTTGATGCGGCCGGTATATGGAACACAAAGGCAGGTACATTGACGACTTCAAAGCGACCAAACATCTCTGGAATTTCTGTGGCTTTATTAAGCTGATTGCAACAGGTATTTTCTCACCAGATTAGATTGGATGGCGTTCAAACCGCAGTAGCAACAGAATGCAACATTATATTGGATGAAGAATTCTGGAGTTAGGAACGCTCGGTTTTATAGGACCAACTCATCAGAATCGGTATCTTCTAATGTTTTGCAGCTCGCTTGGTTTTGACGCTTAGTTTTGAACTGATGGCGGTCAGGCGTTATCAACTCCACGCAGCCGTCAGTAGATTGCAACACTGACGGGTGTCAGCGGTCTCTTGAAAAGATAATAAAGATTGATAAGCGACCAGCGCTGACTTGTGGACGAACTTTCTTCAGAAAGCAAACAAACACACAAGAACTGAAGAAAGCAGAAACTAAGGAAGAAATGTATTTAATCTTGATTCTCTTTTCCACTCTCTTCCCTTACAAGACAGTTAATTTCATTAATACTTTTGCAAAGGTTATATATGCAAGGTTTTTCTTTCCGCTATAGCGGATCAGTTGGTCTCGTCAAAATGCCTGATGTCAAATGTTCCATATTTGGTCATTTATGTATGCTCATCCTTCTCGAAGGGTAACAGCATCAATAACTCGTATTTGTTTAAATAATGGAAATGATTGCACCTCACATCCTGAATAGCCAGGGCATGCTGGAATGTTTCCAGCCTCCACTTCCGAATTCAGATATTCCAATTATGTTCTGGCTTCATTTACCGCAGGAAACAAGTTATAGAATTCAGTTCGTCTGGACGGATTTAGTCGACCCCCAAGTCGTGTGGGGGCATTCTTACTCGAGAAAATCGAACCTTTGAGGACTGCATTACACGTTCGATCCATCTTTTCACCATGACTAAGCAGTCAATGGAACTAACGTCCTTACACGTGTTTATTTTCGGTGACAACAAGCCGCAACAACTATTTCAGTCTATATAACGGTATTGATTTTAACGGAACAAAAAGTCGGTGCAACGCAGAAAGCGAGTGGCTGGTGTGTCTGGAATAAATCATTCACGAGTAGGGATGGTTGCCAAAACAGTTTGATAAACAATTCCGCACAAAAACGAAATACACCAACTCGGCTAGATAAGATCTTTTTAGTTATGTGTATTTGATATTTTTGTTCCTTCATTTTTATGATGGGCTAAGTATTCTCTTAAAGGTTGAAGCAAGAGCTTTGCGTTTACAAGAACAATCCCACCCACAAAACAAATACTACCGACCAAATCTCGGCACCGGATCTCACTGCGCACGCGTGTCTCGTTTTCGACGTGACGTCACAGTAACGGCACTTCCGGGTGCTTGTGGTTCATGTGTGTGCAGCCAGGGGGGTGTTTCCCAACTTCCCAAAAGCGTGTCCGAGATCTTTGATAAACACCCGTCAATGCCACTCTCCAAACCACATAACTTTCTGACAGTTGGACAGCGCTCGCATGATTTAGTTAAAAACAGTTGCCGGGACCACGAGCCATTCAGAACAGTTGAACAGCGCCACGCAGCGGACAGCACAGTGATTACATTCGACACACAACTTGGGTTTTGCACTGGAGAAAGGATTTGTCGCACGTTGGAAACACCGGGAATACTACAGCGTCAACCACCACGCACTAGAATGCTGCCGAAATTCACATTTTTCACCATGGATGTATCACGGAAGACCACGTCAAGGACGTTTTCTGCCGCCTCTCTAGTTTTACTTTTACTATTCAGCATCAGCAAGTGCAATGCGTGCCAACCTGGAGAAGCAGAAATGACAGAATCCAAATTTTATCGGTCGCAAATTGTCATCCAGGCAACAGTTTCTACGAGACAGGATCGTGATGTAGTCGTTCGAGTGGAAAGAACTGTCAAACCCGCGGACGGATCCGGCGTTGACAGTGAAACGATAACCTTAAATGGATTTGGGACGGAGGACCCTTGTTTCTGGGAAGCCACGGATTTATCAGACAACACAGCGTATTTCTTCTTTCTTAGAGGCTTGGATGAGGCTGGTTATTACCCGATCGTTGGCAATCCCGTGGAGGCAACGAAAAAGGAGAGAAAACTCGTCAGGAAGTTTATGCAAGATGGTAAGCCTATGTTATTTTCTGTTCTGTTTTGTTTGTTTTTTTTGGGGGGGCACTGTATTCCGTTCACAGTTAATGATATTTTCCCTCGGTAAACCCCTCTGGAAATCAACGTGTGTAAAATTTGTTTCTCATTAAAATGGACTGGTTTGAAACGACGATTGTAGTCAGCATGTCATGCATGCGTACAGAACGCTTCTGTGATTTGCGCTGCCGCCATTACGAAACACATTGTGCAATCTCAGCTTTTAAACTTAGGGCTGATGAAACAAGTGCATTGAAGGTCATTGGTTTTATACATGATTGGCTGATTTCGTGACACCTTGTTAATGCTTTGGACGTGTGAAATATTTCTGAACATGATAAACATCCCCATTTTGCTGCGCCTCCTCGCAGATCCAAAAGGACAAAAGGGCTGAGTTTCCCTAAGTTCCAAAGGTCTGTGGGAAATCCTTGGGTATTTGTCGAGTGTACAATCACAGCATGCGCCAGTAACGGAAATAATTATGTCAACAGGTCCATTATGTAAATCACAAAAGATATGTTTGCATGAACCATAATTTTACAATACGACAGACATCTCATTCAGGCATCCAAATACGAAGTGATGAACCAAAAGTCCGAGTACTTTCCAGTGAATTTCAGTGTTAAAGGGACCAGTCGTGCTGTACGAGCTGAGATGATAGTGAAGACATTATTGGGAAACAGCAAAATTTCGGTGGACTTTATTAAAACATGAAAAGGAAAAGAATTTGGTCGGAGGCAAGGAGGTTTGGCACATTTCAGTTTGTACGTCACAACGTGTACCTCTTTGATTACCCCTACGAAGTACAAATGCTCATGCCGGTGTCTGGTTGGGTTATACATTTATTGCATACCATAGCTGCTTTTCCAATGTTATCTGTACAACTATGTAAAAAGTTGGTTCCGTTTCCACCTTTAGTTAAGGTGTGTTTAAATTTCGTAATCCCCCTTTTCCTGGGCTGGTCTGATTAATCGTAGCTCTGTAAGGCCAAAATTCTTAAGTTAGTGTGATGCCAGTGACACTGACACTGTCAGGAGTCATTGGAGCTACGTGCGTTGTTATGCTTTTCACAAGACTGTGGACCTTGAGCCTTCTGTAATTCCGTCATGGCCTTGTTTTTAACCCCCTTTGAAATGAGAGTTTTATTGAAGTTAATTTAGTACTCGGACTCAGTCACTGAGCGAACATTTTTCCCACCTGTGGAAAAAAACTCATAGGGAATACCAGATATTTCTCCTCTCAGATTATTTCAGGAATCTTTCCTCGTAAACTTGACACTCAACAAGTAAATTGCAATCTGTCAAGCAGAGGAGGGCGAAATGTAAAAACGGGAAGTGATAATCAAGCACACCACCTCCAATGTTGTCATCCAAATGACAGGCTTGGCAATGACCCCATTTATTAAAAGAGCTGTCACTCCAGCCTGACTTTTTTCCCAGACCAATATGCACTACCGGTATGTCAAGGTCTTTGTTTATTCCATTTTCTTGCACGTTTTTACACCACGGGTAGCTTAATTGGTACATGTACATGTACATTCCTGTATGCCTGAAGTTTATCGCCATATCGCATTTTGTGCCATGATGAGATTACCATAGGTCAAGCTTCGGTGTGCTGGTTTAATTATATGTCTAAGTTGTTTATTTCGTGGAGTTTTGTTTTACTACATCTCTTGGTTTTTCTTTTGAAATATGGTTAAACCCCAGTTCTCGTACACTGTTGTTAGTTTGAACTGTTGTTGGACCTTAAGCTGTGGTTGACTTCCAGCCTACACTGTCTAGACGCCCTGGCCGTGCTTGTTCTGGAGGTATTAAACCCTCAAGGCGTCCATGGCTGATTATACAATCAATATTTCCCCGAGAAATTTACGAAGAAGTTGATCTCTCTGGCTAAAGGCAGTGATTCCAAACTCAACCACAAACTTGTCACGCTTTATTTTTCCACAGTACATGAACATGGTTCTAAAGTAACAAGTACAAGTGCCCGTAGGTTTGTAAGTGCAGCATACACACCTGCTGCTTAGAAACTAGAAACATGTTTGGTAGAGAGTACACTTGCATGCACTTTTTAACAGGGTCAGAACCTAGTGGTGGGCATTTACAAGTAATTAGAACTGGGTACCCTATTGAAGTACACCCGGAAAACATGGGTAACAGGGTACCTGCATGGGCATTGCCAGGACTTTTTTCCGGGGGAGGGGCAATCCACTTTTGAGGGGGGATTAAAAAGGAACAGTTAATAGCGTTAAGGGGTCAACTTTGAAGCTTTTCAAGCAAATTGTTGATTTATACACTTTTTTTTCTTTTTCCACCTTTTTCCTATTTTCTTTTGGACCATACAATCCAAGCTTGCATCGTTCCTTTCAAAGACTCTTGCTGGGATCAAAATGTCAGGCCCTCCAACTTTGACCCATTTCATTTTGCCAAAGTTGATGAGGCGAAACTGTTTGAGCATAGTTAAGTCATGGGCAATCTGCAGCACTCTAGGAAATATGTGTACACTGAAAGCCAACGGAGGTGGATTGGATAATGTTACTACGACCACCTGACAATAGAGGGCTTCGTTTGTCACCTCTCATTCTGGCAGGGTGTGCAGGTAACACAAGACACCCGCCCCATGCAAATTTGCTAACATTTTCAAAGAGGAACCACAAGATTTACCCAGCATCCTCAATAAAAAATGAGCCGCTTTACGAGGGGCTCATCGCACCTGTTCAGCACGTTATGCAGACTCTATAAAAGTTTGTTTCCTCATCAAAGGGGGGCTTGGAGGGAGTGGATTGTTAATCATAGCACATGCAAAGACTTCATTTTTCAGACAGAGGACAGCCCGTCGTTGCGTTATTTATTGTGCATGCCGATACCATGCAATACCGTTGCTCACCGTGCATAGTTTAAAGTCACCCCACAAATTTGCATCGCACTTCAAACAGGTGAAGTGGCTTTGAATTATGTAGATTGTCAGATTGTGAAACTGACAGGGAAACTTGTCAGAAATGTACATGTACATAAGATTATGTTTTTATAAATGTGAGACTTTGCCAAGGCAGTTGAGCCAATAAAGAGTGGACAGAGTTGCAGAAGGCAAAGGGCTGGAGAATCTAAAAGTAGTCAGGGTAATGATAGAGGCCATAAAATGTGAGCAGCGTGTTACACAAAGTATTCTGTAATCAGCTACGGTATTAGGCCTACCTTACAGATGTCTTCATTCATAGCCTACATGTAAGTTTTGTAGCCAACCTGCCAATAGCGCTACGGAGCAAAAAAACAAGTTTGCAACAGGTGAAACCAAATTCTGGCTTTGCACCTGCTTTGAAAAATAAATGCTTCCCCTATATTGTGTGCTTCACACAACAGCTGTATGTATTGATTGATATCTGAGGATTCTTGCTGTGGATGTGCAGTGAAACACAGAGCTTATGTGTACATGTCCATGTTGCCGTTAGGATTTGGTTCCATTTTCCACGGGATTTCCATCTGTTCTGAGAGGGTCGTTTCCGTGTTCTGCCATGGGGGTTAAGGCTTCTCCAGGGAGATAACCCAAATTAAGCTGCTTACTCATGTCCTCTCTTGATTGGAACGTCAGATAAAAGGAAATTCTGCAAACTTCATATTCTGCAGAATACAACCCTCAGAAGTAGGACCCCAGGATATTCCCACATGCTCAGTGCCTGGCTGATATTAGAAGACTGCAGTGCATTGTGGGACTCGGTTTGATACAGAGGATCCAAGTGCAAGTCGAAAACTTGTTTGATGTGGAAAAATGCATTCGGGTGCAAAAGTAATCAGTAAAATTGTTGCGAAATTCCATCTGCCATCTTCGAAGGCAGTATCAAAGATTACATCCAAAATACCGACACATGAACAATATCCCAAAGTCTGAATTTTTGGTAGTGAGCAAGATGTGTTACATGTGGGCCTAATTGCTTCACCACATAGTCAACTTGAATGTCTGGATATTGCCCCTCCCCCCCGCCCCCACAGTTTTATTTGTAAGCCTATCCCATCATTCTTTGCAAAAGCAAAGTAGAAGGATTCTTGCACATGTTGGAAATTATTTTAACACTGATTCAGCGTTGGTTTCAAAGATGTTTGACATTCAAGACTACAAAGTGCATGTAGTGGTCAGCAGTGTGTGCTCACAGTCTAATGGACACAGTCAGCCCGCATATCGCTGATAATGCTCTTTCAATTATGCAGGTTGGGTATTTATGTTAAGGGTGTGTACATTGTGAGCATTCTTTCAGTTTAAAGGGGAACGAGAAACAAAACAGGTAAGCCATCAAGGTGATATTCACAAACACAGTACCGTGGCATGTTTAATTTGCAGTGCTTCTGTTTGAATAACAGAAGATAGTCAGAATGAGATGTCATTAGGAGATGTTATCAGACACCTGGATGCCGAGGTTCTCAAGAGAATTCAGTGCCAGTGGTTAGGGTTTGTAGAGCAGATTTCTTGTCGTTGATGCATTGCAGTCAGGCCAAGTAAAATAAAATCCATCAGCTCATCATTAAAAGGAGGAGGTGGCCTTTGGTATTTTTGTTTTACCAAGATGGCCGCCAGTAGCTTTAACAATCAAAACTGCCAGCAACTTTTCAGTTCACAATAACTGTCAGCTTTCTCCCAGTAATCCACAGTGGCTGTTTATTTCAGCCTAATGCATGCTCTTCTTAATTGTCATTTAGACAAAATTAACTGACATTTTCAGAATAAGTTGATTCCGGGTGGAAGTGAAAAAAATAAAGGATGTGGCTTCCTTATATTATGAGAGCAGAGAAAAATCAACCGATTGAGGTTTTTACTAGGCCTACCATAATCAGGTTTCTGCTTATTAGTTTAAATGTGATTAGGATGTTCCATGTCACTTGAAATAATTTGTTTGGATAGATTAGGTCATGATCGCTTTATACTGGTAGTCTTGCTACATCTTTTTCTGCTCACAACCAGATGATTTTTGGGAGGTCAAAGTTGTTTTGGT